TCCTGCTAATTGGGGACACTGTTCATCAGGTCTTTTATGGTGTATCATGTGTGTTAAGTTCATCTCAGTCACCAGTTTGACAAAGTAATTTTTTGAGGGTGTTCACAGTGACCTTTCAGGGGATCTTGGTCTATGAAATCATATTGGTCTGGAAACAATCCACATGTTCTCATCTTCTGTGACAACAAAAGAAGAACCTCTTTTCCAAAACAACATATCCTTAGATTAAAATTTGGAAATCAAGATATTTTTTATGTTGTTTTAACTTAGCAGTAAATGCAATGAAATGCCTCTCTGTACTTAGCTCCTTCACAGTCAAAAAATTCAAAGATAGCACAATAATATACATAATCCAGACTCTCTGTGTATAGTCCCTCTTTACATGGCTTATTTTTCTTACTCCTTTTAATCTATGACTATCTGTAGTCTGTCACTTTATAGACTTTATACCTTTCTTTTAAGCATTTACTTTATTTTATCATTCTCAGTACTCTTTTTCTTCTCTCTCCCAAGCCTACATGCATTTATCCAACACTATGACTCATTTAGTGGTCATTTTATCTGGATTTGTCTTCATTGCATAACTGTAAATGTTTTCTGACCAGAAGCACTTCCTAAAATGCTAAGCACTTCTTAAAAACTGAAGTTGCACCATAGCTCGTTCAAATATCCTAAATCACTGCTTATTCTTCACAGTCAAAAACTTAAGCTATGCTATTGCTATTGTATATATGTTACTGCCTGTTCACTACGCACAGTCCTGCATGGTGGGACTGTTTGTATCTCTGAGTCTCACACACCCTCCCAGTTCCAGACATACATCTAGTCCACATTGCCATCAAACAAATTGCAAAACACTACTCACAAACCCTACTCAAATGCTCTGTAGTGGGGCCTTCTGCCTTGAAAGAGCCAGAGGTCATACTGGCAGAACAACCCAGAAAGCTGGCGTTTCAAAATGGCCCAGCTTTTTTCCTGCTATTGCTGAATCAGGAAAACCTCTCTTAAAGGAGCTGCGGCACACTGCCAGTAAACGGCATGAAGCTGTGTTAAACTGTGCATTTTATTTTTATCTAGAATTCATTTTCAAGCCCTCTCCGGTTTTATGTGGATTTAATTGGCCACATGGGCTGTCAATGTCGCAAGGAGATCACTTGTTTATCCTGTCTGCCCACCCCAAAATAATCACAGAGACACTGTTTTCATCAAATCACTGCTTGGCCCATTAGCTTTAACTTCTTATTGGCTAACTCTTACATCTTAATTTAACCCATTTCAATTAATCTATATATCACCATGAGATCATGGCCTACCAGTAAAATTTCAGCACTCCTACCTACGGCCATGGATCCATGGTGTCTTCTTGATTCTTTCCTTTTCCTAGCGTTCAAATCTGTCTTCTCCATATAAGTTATACCATATCAACATGCCAAAGCACTTTCTTTATTCATTAACAAAGAAAAGCAACAAACAGACAGAAGGACCTCCCACACCAGGTCTGACTAATTCATTTTAATGACATATATAGTAATCATGAGTTGTCTACCAAAAATGCCAAAGTGCTAGCTATAGATTATTCCATGTGTCAGAGAGGGAAACCCCAGAAGACAAACAAGTTCTGCAGAGTCCTGATATACTTGGTTGTTCCTAGAAGTGGATGATAATATCTTATGGCTAAATAAAACACAGACCTTGATTTTGATGTGTAAAGATATCAACTGGGCAGGGAGGGTTCTTGCTATTGGAAACATAAGCATATTCTGAGCTTGAATGCAGAGCACATTAGCACATTGTACATTTTTTCTGAATGTCATTATTTTTATAGACTGTTTCACTTAATTTGTTTTCTTTTGACTAATGATATCTTTACATATTTACAATAGACATCAAGCAACATTTCTTTTATTATCTATACAGTTATCATTTTGATATCTCTTGTAGTTTTGTGTCATAGCTTTTGAATTCAGTATACTGGAGAAATAAAGTAGTCAATATATTAGAACACTTAAAGGTAGCACAGGATATGTTAATACCTTTATATGAAATCCTTGTCAAGTTTTAGCATATTATCTTCTAATAGTGTAGTTGCTTTGGCTCATATAACTCAGGCCACAATTTTAAACTAATTTAACTGCACAGTATTATGTTTAGTTTTGGTACATATTTTAAAGCAGTTCTCATGATTTTAAATGACTCATATATGACATATCCATATGCATTGTGACTTTTACCTGCCAGTATAGTTTTTTGTTGTTGTTGTGGAATATTACTTTTTTTTATTAAATTATAAAAGTTTCCATTTCAGCCCCTCCTCCCAACACCCTCCCACTCCTCCCACTCCCTCTCCTCCTCCCTCTCCATCCCCTAGAGCAGTCAGGGTTTCCTGCCCTGTGGGAAGTTCAAGTTCCTCCCCCCTCCCTCCAGGTCCAGGGAAGGTGAGAGTCCAAACAGACTGGAGCGCCAAAATCCAGTATATGCAGAGGAAGCAAGTCCCAGTGTCATTGTCAATGGCTTTTCATAAAGGCTCCGGGCCAGCCACATTCAGAGAATCTGGTTGGATCACGTCCTTGTTCAGTCCCAGTCCAACAGGCCTTGGTGAACTCTCATTATATCAGTCCCCTTGTATCAGTGGGTGCTCGCATCCCTCGCAGTCCTGATTACTTTTTTTATTTTCTTCATCATTCTGTTCCTCATTTGGACTGTGGAGTGCTCAGTTCGGTGTTCCAATATGGGTCTCCATCTGTATCGCCATCCAACGTCGGATGAAGGTTTCCTGTGCCCTTGCTTTCTTTGCTCACGATCTCTTTCCTTCCGCCTCTCATTTGGACCTAGGGAGCTAGGTCCAGTGTTCCAACGTGGTTCTCTGCCTCCATCTCCATCCATCGCCAGATGAGGGTTCTATGGTGACATGCAAAATATTGATCAGTATGGTTGTGGGCCAAGGCCGGTTCAGGCACCCTCTCCTCTGTCCAGAGAACCATCTGGGGATCTCTCCTTGGACCGGGAATCCCCCTTATAATCAAGTCTCTTGTAAACCCTAAAATGATTCCCTTAGTTGAGGTATATACTTGCCTGATCCCATATCCATCCTTCCTCCCTCCACCCCATCCCAGTCCCCTGATCTTTCCCCAATCCTCCCCTACGCCCTTCTCTCTAACCCTCTCCCTTTCCGACAACCCTCCCACCCCCCCATGCACCCAAGGTTACCTGGGACTCTTGTCTATTTCCTACCTCCTGGCGGATAGCTAAATAATCTTCATCAGGTTCATCTTCTTATTTAGCTTCTCTAGGATCACGAATAATAGGCTCAAAGACCTTTAATTATGGTTAGAATCCACTTATGAGTGAATACATACCGTGTTCCTCTTTTTGGGTTTGGCTTACCTCACTCAGTAAAGCGTTTTCTATTTCCATCCATTTGCATGCAAAATTCAAGATGTCATTGTTTTTTACCGCTGAGTAAAACTCTAATGTGTATATGTTCCACACCTTTTTTAACCATTCTTCTATTGAGGGGCACCTCGGCTGTTTCCAGGTTCTGGCTATTATAAATAGTGCTGCTATGAACATAGTAGAACAAATGCTTTTGTAGTATGTTAGGGAATCTCTAGGGTATATACCCAAGAGTGGAATTGCTGGGTCCTGAGGGAGGTTGACTCCCAGTTTCCTGAGAAACCGCCACACTGATTTCCACAGTGTCTGCACAAGTTTGCATTCCCACCAACAATGGATGAGTGTTCCCCTCATTCCACATCCTCTCCAGCATAGGCTATCATTGGTGTTTTTGAGTTTGGCTATTCTGACAGGTGTAAGATGATATCTCAAAGTTGTTTTGATTTGCATTTCCCTGATCGCTAAGGAGGTTGAGCATGACCTTAAGTGCTTTTTAGCCATTCGAAGTTCATCTGTTGTGAATTCTCTGTTAAGTTCAGTACCCCATTTTTTAATTGGGTTAATTAGAGTTTTAGTGTCTAGTTTCTTGAGTTCTTTGTATATTTTGGAGATCAGACCTTTATCTGTTGCAGGGTTTGTGAAGATCTTTTCCCAGTCATAAGGTAGCCTTTTTGTCTTACTGACAGTGTCCTTTGCTTTACAGAAGCTTCTCAGTTTCAGTAGTTCCCATTTATTTATTGTTTCTCTTATTGTCTGCGCTCCTGGGTTTCTGCTTAGGAAGTGGTCTCCTGTGCCTATATCTTGTAGACTACTTCCCACTTTCTCTTCTATCAGGTTCAAAGTGGTCGCATTAATGTTGATGTCTTTTATCCATTTGGACCTGAGTTTTGTGCATGGTGATAGATATGGATCTATTTTCATTCTTCTACAAGTTGACAGGTCCTCGGGCCAGGAGCAAATCACCCCTCCTCCAATGGATGTCTGCTAGAAGATCACTGTCTCTTGCTGGCCAGGAATGTGGCTGAGGTGATTCAGGGCCTGCCTGTCAGGCAGGCTATCAGAGCACAGGAACTGCCCCTGCCGGGCTGAGCCCACAGCCCAGGCTCAGAATGCCCAGGAGCAGCTCTGGGGAGATCTTGTGGCCCCAGGGGGAGGGGAGAAAGAGAGGGAGGTGTACCTGGATGAGGCCTGGGATGGGATTCGGGAGAGCTCAGCAGGGTATAGCCACCACTGCAGGGCAACCAGAAAGTCGAGGGGGGTGGGGAAAGTCTCTCAGAAAATTGCCAGTATAGTTTTAAAGACAAAATGATTACTTAAATGTTCACACAGAGATACATCTTTCTTTCTGACAGGAATGCCCAATTAATCATCTCAAAAGACACTGACCTTTAGCCTAATCTTATTAGTTTAAGGATATGAGGTCATTGGCTCCAAAGCAGGGTCAAAGAAGAAATACTGGACAGCTATAGGTTGTTGTGGTGCAGAATCATTGGTTGTTTCCATGAAACTCCCTCTAACTAACTGAATAAAAACCTATGTCAGTTCAGTTCCTTCAAAACCAGTGTCTTATTTTGAGCATCTGCAGAAGAGCAAAGGCAGGCACCACAATGGTCAAATTTCTACTGCTGGCTTTGGCATTTGGTCTGACTCAAGCTCATGCTGAGGTAAATTCATTTGTCAGTGAATAGGTTTAATGTTCATCAATAGCTTACTTTTGTGGATGTGTTATGTAATTCAGTTTGTCCATCCAAGTCCATATTCATAAAATGACCTTTCTGACTTTTACTTAGTTACCCCTTTCCAGAAAGATTTCTCAAAGATGAATCAAATGAACTGAGAAAACAATGGATTGAATTTACAGAGCATAGGAGATCAAAATATGAGTAGTTCCAAAAAGTCTTATGTTTAGAATGCTATGTAAATTGAGTTATCATATTACTCTTTATTAATGTTCATCCCTAGAAGAACAATTTTGAACCAATAAACTGTTATTGATGTATATTTTTAGTTACTTTACATATTGGGAGCAGAGATGTATCAACTCACATTCCAATTGCATTTGTTATTTGTTCAGCTTGAAGGAAAGTGGGTTACTATTGCCATCGCTGCTGATAATGTGGACAGGATAGAGGAAGGAGGACCTATGAGACTCTACTTTCGTGAAGTTACTTGTAATGAAGACTGTAGTCAAATGGAATTCACATTTTATGTCAAGTAAGCTAACTGTCAATGGTGCAACTTGAGTAGACTGCTTACATTCCACAGATTTTTTATGTTGTTAAATTACAGGAGAATGTTCTGTTTATGATCATGAACTGAAAATCTCATCTTCAGAAATGTGATTATGTTATTCCATGATGAGTTAGTTCTGCACACCACATGAAAGTTAGAATCTGTCTCCAATTCCATGAGTGTTTTCTGAGAATCCTTGTGGCTAGAGGCCTGTGGTTGAATTTTATGCTCTAATATTAGAATCATGAGACTCTATGGATCCCACTTCTAGTAAGTTAAAAGGTAGTTGTGAGCATTTGGGACAAAATCATGCATGTTATATTATTTAGTCATAGTATCATAAAAAATTCTTCCACACACAGGTCAGAAAAATCTAATATGCAAACCCAGGTCTGCTGTTTTAAATCTTTCTCTCTTTACATTGTTTTATTTGTTAATGAATAAAGAATAAACATCTTTTCTTTGATAGGACATAGTAAAGCTATGAGGGGTAAAACAAAGCTGACTGCTGGGACAAAGAAGTCAGAGTGAAAAAGATGCCATGTAGCTGCCAGTGGGGAAAGACATAAGTTGCAAGCTGGAACCTTACCAGTAGGCCACAAGCCGTGTGGCAAAATTTAAATAATTGAATGAATTAATTCTACATGTAAAAGCTACCTAGCAATATGCTTAAGTGATTGGCGAAGCAATGATTTAAATACTATAGTTTTTGTGTGATTATACTGAGTCTGAGCTGCTGGGAGCATGTCTCTGATGCTCTAGTTCAAAAATTTTCTTTCTGACATTCAGATGGCAATTTTCAATTAAAGAGTGCATAGGACTGTAATAACTTAAAATACTTAGAACCATTAATTTGTTCTAGTCACAGTCATATTTATAGGTTAAGCATAAAAGCATTTAAAATAAATTCATAAAATATTGTGTACATATTATTGTTGGCCTAGAAAGGAAGAATTAACATATTGAAAATCATACTCAGTGAATAGAGAAATTTGGACAAGGAAGAAAATAGAGTCTTCCTAGCACTTGGAAAAATTGCCACAAATCAAGTAATTCATAGGTATGATAATAAACAGAATGATGTTTTCTAAACAAGAATTATGAAAAGTAAGGTAAACTGAGATTTGTCTCCCCTAGCTCTGAACATTGTTCATAGATATTAAAGTATCTCAAGTTCTCTAAAACCTGAAGAATTTTAATATGAATTAGCAGGATAAAAACAATAAATCATGATTCCTTTGTTTAATTTTCAGTGCGAATAACCAATGTTCAAAGACCAAAGTCACTGTGTATGAGCAAGAAGATGGCAACTACAAAACCCAGTGTAAGTATGGGATCTGGGAGCTTCCTCTATAAATTAAAGCATTGTGGGTGAGCATGTATATGTTGATACCTCAGGTACCCATAGGTACCTGGACCTAGAACAATTTTGGTTACTGGGAAAGTTATCAATTCTTCCAATCAACTGAGATATTCTAACAAAATGTCTCCAAATAGTTTCCTGCATAAAAAATTGTTTCTAGATAATATCCAGTGTCCTTTCTTTCATACAGTATCACAGATTCTTATTGGACAGGCCTGCCACTCCCTAATAAGTCTCTCAATGGCCTCAAACATCTTTGCAAACTTTATTATTCAGGTTACCAAGTACTTATAGTATAGGGATTATCTATCATCCTGGATTCAGAGAGAATTTAAATTAACAATGCTATTTTAAAATTTCCTTTTCTTATATTTTGTAAAAATGATAACATTCACATCATTGGATGATAAAACTCACTTTTGAAAAGCAGTTAGGAGAACATCTATTTAAGAATTTCAAATTGACTACCTCAGTATGAAAAATAATTGCAAAAATAATAGCAACATTATTCAACTGAATTATACACAGCATAAATTTTCATTGATTTTAAATGAAGAGAAGGTACATTCTTCTGACAAAAATAATAGTTTTCTAACTTTATGGGGATATTAAAAAACAGTCATATAATACAAAATGACCAAATACTTAAATTCATTTATTTTTGTGTGAACTATTTTATCATTCAATCAGTGTCTGTAAGTGGAGATATCACACTCACACATTAATGCACACACAACAGAAAGAGAGAGAGAAAGTGAGAGAGACAAAGAGAGAAAAAGGGAGGAATACACACACAGAAACATACATAGAAAGATTGACACACAAACAAAATGAATGTCTGGTAAAGTTAAAATATTCATTCTTACATTTTACATCTATAATCTTACAAGAAGAAAACTGTTTTGCACATTTGTAATGAGTACAGTCTTGTTTTGCATATGTAGCCATTTGCTCACCAGGTCTTATTATGGTATGGCACCAAAAGTTTTAACTTTCAGAAATTGACAAGTGGCCTTTTGGATCTCGTTGAAATGGGAAGGAATAACCAAAAGAGTGATCCCACAGATCTTGACACAAAGAATTCAGAAAAAAAGGAAAAGTGTATGTACTTAGGATTCATTATCAGGTTTAAAGAGTGGAAATGATTGGTCACTTCATTATGATGGGATATGTAAAATTAATGACTACAAGAATACCTTTGCCCATGTGTGTCCTGTGTTAGTTATTCAGAGATGACTGCTAGAGTCAGGGTCAATATTAATGTTTTCCAAACAGGTAACATCAAACAAAGTACAAAAATGAGTGACACTGAGTTTTGAAATCTGTCTTTATTGCAGTTGAAGGTGATCATGTATTTAAACCTGTGGCTGCAACAGAAGACAACATAGTCTTTGTTGGTGATAATGTGGATAGAGCCAGCCGGAGAACAAAATTGATTTTTGTTCTTGGTAAGAATGGTTGAGGGTTCTCTGATGCGGTAAGGAAAGTATAACGCTGTAAAGTAGAATTAAGTCAGATTCACCCACCAAATACAGCATCATGGTATTTTAAAACTCCTGTTCACCAAATGGCAGACTGTTTGTTTTGTGAACCAACTTTTACATTATATTGCACTTCAAGTAGCATGGTCAATGAAGAGTAGAAGAAGTGGAGGAAGGCTATTGGAAGAGTTTATTTTCATGTTTCCTAACTGGAAAGAAGAGAGTAAATACTATTTTCTCTAAATTCAGACCATTTTGAGTGTCATTTGAACATGTGTGTATTAAATTAAAACACAAATTCTAAAGTATAGTTTTGGGAGAAATGTGAAGATTCCATTGACAGGCTTCATGACTCTCCAGTGTTACGTTTTTGAAAGTGGATAGGACTGTGATGAGTAATTTCTCTAGAGAAGGTGCTTTTTAAAATTTTTTGATTCATCATGAGACCCTGAAAAGTGAAATCATATTAACATTTAGATTTTGCTTTTTTGTGACAAATGACAAGATTTTATTCTTATTAATGGCAGAATAGTATGTTATTTATTTATTAACAATTTCCACCTCCTCCCTGCCTCCCTTTTCCTTCCCCCTCCCCACTTCCCCCTCCCTCTGTAGTCCTAAGAGCAGTCAGGGTTCCCTTCCCCGTGGGAAGTCCAAGGTCCTCCCCCCTCCATCCAGGTCTATAAAGGTGAGCATCCAAACAAACCAGGCTCCCACAAAGTCAGTCCATGAAGTAGAATCAATACCCAGTACCATTGTCCTTGGCTTCTCAGTCAGCCCTCATTGCCTGCCACATTCAAAATGTTCTGTTTGATCACATGCTCCATCACTCCCAAGCCAGCTGGCCTTAGTGAGATCCCATTAGATCAGTCCCACCGTCTCAGTGGGTGGTCGCACCCCTCATGGTCCTGACTTCCTTGCTCATGTTCTCCCTCTTTCTGCTCCTCATTTGGACCTTGTGAGCTAAGTCTGTAACATAAGTCCAGTGCTCCAATGTGGGTCTCTGTCTCTATCTCCAACCATTGCCAGAAGAAGGTTCTATGGTGATATGCAAGATATTCATCAGTGTGGCTATGGGACGAGGCCAGTTCAGGCACCCTCTCCTCTGCTGCCCAAGGAACAATCTGGGGACCTCTCCTTGGACTTTGAAACGCCTCTAGAGTCAAGTCTCTTGCAAACTCTAAAATGTCTTGCTTAATTAAGATATTTGCTTCCCTGCTTCCATATTCACCCTTCCTAAAGTGTCCATGGAACTTGTGAAAATTTATATTGCCTGTATTGACTAACCAAGTGTAAAGGAATTTGGAGCAGTTGGGATTTTTACTGTATATTGTGGTGGGATACTAAGGTAAATTCTCCAGATTTCTATGGAACATGTCTCTGACATTGTCATTCATGCAATGTAGGAAAAGGTCAACCCTTGACTCTTGAGCAACGTGAGAAATTTAAGGCGTATGCTGAGGAAAATAGCATTCCACCAGATAACATTCGAGAAGTTCTGTCCACAGGTAATCTCAATGAATATTTTTGTCCATAGCATGCATATATATATATATATATATATCTCACTGTATTCATAAATACATGTATATTATATACTGATTCTTTCTGTCTGTCTATCTATCTATCTCCCTATCTATCCATCAACAATGTATCTACCTATCTAGACAGTAAGATCCATGAATCAGATTATATCTAGCCATATGCTATCTTTCAATTGTTATTTCCAGCAATAAATCCTTTGGGATCTGTTCTCATATTCATATGAGAGCATTTCTGTCAATATTTACCCCATTTATGTTTTTTTTGCAGATACTTGTCCTGAATATTGACCTTCTGTAGGTGAGTAGAAACAGAAGCCATGCCTAATCATCTTGATATTTGAATGGATTTGTTCATATTACATAAAAAATTAGAGATTAGTATGTGACCAAAAGAAAAAATGAACATCAAATCTAGAGAAGTTATTATTTTTTCTTTTAAAACTGAGAATCTTACTGTGACAAAAATGAAGGGTAGCAATTTTTTATTTATAAAACAGTTTGAAGGATATTTATCTTAATCAGAATTGCTAAATTTTCTATTTTGAGGCATATTCCATCAAAAAACCGTGTCATAACATTTGAAAAATCTTAGTTATTTATGATTTGGCATATGATTTGTCACAGAGAAGCTACTATCAGGTTTTCAGTATATTCCTTGAAATCTCTCAATATAAATTTTCATGTAAGCCTAAAGAATGTCATTATTTCCTGTCAACAGTGCTCCTAGAGAATCCAAAACACAATATATTGGTGATTTCTAGGAAAGGAACTGTTCATGTACAATCTCTTCTCTATACTCTATATTGTTATATTAATTTTGTATTCATACATTCACAAGTGTGAAAACTTTATTGTCTGGTCAACTATGTTTAATTTTGACTTTTATGTCTGCACAGATGACAAGATGAGAATTATGCATCATATCCTCTTGACCATGGAATCAGTATCAGATACAAATCATCATTTCTTTCTAAATCAATTTTCCCCTTACCTGTGAAGTCAGAATACAACATTCCAAACTTCCGACTTACCTTTTTTCTCTTCTTATGATCTATGAGCTGTTCTTTTCTTGAATGACTAAATAAAAGATTTCAAGAAGCAATGAGGACTTTGTGAATAGAATCTCATTTAAAAACCACAAAACCATTCACTAGCTAATTAAAATCACCACTTCATTGAAACAAATGATACCTGTATTACGACAACTTATTGTAAGAATTGGAAACTTTACAATTACTGGAGAGCCAAAGGCAAGAACTCTGCAGAAGTTAATTGTATGGTTTGCTTTTATTTACCTGCAGCTGAAAATTAGTTATTTGCAGATAAATGGTCATAACCCTTTAAAATATTTCACATAACAACTCTGTTTGTGCCTCCATTTTATACATTATTTAAAACACAGGATGAAATATGTTTTCAGTAGTTAATATGAGGAGATTATCTCTTGTTAATGGACTTCAGTAAGCAAATGAATCAGGATATTCTTAAATAGTGTACATATGTGTCATTCTCACTCAACAAATACATTCATGATAATGTATTCCATAAATAACAATCCCTATAAATATGCAAATATTTATTAAACTTTTCTCTTCGTTATACAATTATCCCTTATAACACAGTTAGCTATCAACTAGAAACGTCCATGCAATAATTTTTGAGGGATTGGAATAAGGAAAAAGAAAAGATATTAGATGGTGTTGCTATATTCAATCTCTCATCTAAGGCTATAAGAAAATCAAAGTACATTAAATACACATAGGCAACAGATATGAATAAGAAACAAGGAAATATTTTCTTGTTAAAAAACCTGTAACTTAACATTTCTTTGTGTGTCTTGTAAAACAAAAATCTTTCAGAACAAATCCTTGACTAATGTTTGAAAAAAATTCTGTATATTCAATGTACATTAATTTTACTTCAACTCAATCTCAAAATAATTACTACTATACTTGTGCTCCCTCCTCCTCCTCAAAGTTTTCCAACTTATTCATGAATATACATATTTATTTGAAAGTATTTGTGAATGTGAGTTTGTGTGTGTGTGTGTGTGTGTGTGTGTGTGTGTGTGTGTGTGTGTGCGTGTGTACATTTGTGTATATTTAGAGAGAGGAGACTAGCAGAGAAATTTATATCCATACCAAGTCCATTTTGTGTTTGTAATATGTATTCATGTTTAGTGTTGGCACTTTAGTCATCAATTGCTTTTTGCTTTTATCTGATCTCAGTTTAGAGGTGAAAGGATTATGGCTACTGCTTTTACTATCAGAAGTTGGCTTTCTAAGCTGTCAAACCTTTAAATGGAATAGAAGTTCTAAAACCCACCATTCACATTGTGATAACATGGGTAAAATTTGCCCAATCTGAGAGGTAACTCAGAGGTTGAGCTTATATCCTGAGCTATAGAAGATAAATCATGATTGGTTCCATAAACTTGTCCAACTACTATTGTTAATTTAATCAACCAGTGTAATTTTTATGTGCATTGTAAAAAATAATTTCTTAATCAAGACTATAAGAGATGATTTAAATATCAATCTTAGTTGCTAGTACTCTCATGTTAACCAGGGATAATATTCCTTCATCAAATTGTAGAGTGAATTATTTCTGCAGATATGTTCTTATAATAGCCAGAAAATGCATCAAACTGTCAGTTTTGCAAGTTAACAATTCCAGATGCAAAAGATCCTCATTTCTTTGTCTTCTCAGAAAAATAAACATCAAGGAAACAAATGACTCCATTTCTAAAGATAGATTATAGATGTAAAAAGCATTTTCTCAGAGAATGAAAAACAAATTTCTGAGACACACTTAAAAATGTTCAATATACTTAGCCATTAGGGAAATAAAGTTAAAACTATTTACATATTTTGTCTTACTGCTGTCAGAATGACATAGATCAATAAAAAAAGATGCATGGAAAGGGCTATACTTGATCCTGGTTGATGGAAAAGAAAACTGATTCGGCTGCTGTCAAAATCAAAGCCAAACATCCTAAAAATAATGTCAGTCTTACAACAAGTCTTTCAAAGTAGAATTGCAACCCAACTGTCTTGATATTTTATTTCAGGAATTTACAAAGATGATCCCAGCTAAGAATCTAAGCAGTAGTGGAAAGGTACCTTGGTGTGAGACAATGGTCTACTACTCTGCAAAGATTTATCAATTATATTGCATTAATAAATTACTGATTGGCCAGTAGCCAGTCAGAAAGCATAGGAAGGGTGACCAGGCAGGAAGTAGAGGTAAGGCAATGAGAAAAGGAGTATTCTGGGGAAAGGAAAGTCTCAGTTTGAGGCTGTCAACCAGATGCAGAGGAAGCAAGATGAGAATGTCTCCTGATAATAGTTTTGAAGACATGTGGCTAACGCAGACAAGAATTATGGGCTAATATAAGTTATAAGAGTTAGTAAGAAGCCTGAGCTAATAGGCAAACCAGCTTTTGATTAATATGCACCTCAATTGTTTCTTTGGGACTGAATCGCGATGGGACCATGTTGGACAGAAACCTCTGTCAACAGTACACCAAATACCCTTCCGCTCTTCAGATTGATGACTACCTTAGTTGTCATTAGAGCCTTTATCATCACCTGATGGAAGCAGATGTAGAGATCCACAACTAAGCACTGAGTAGAACTCCTGAAGTCCAGACATAGAGAGGTAAGCATGATATTATGTGTAAATGGACCAAGACTATGATGTGGAAACCCACAGATATAGCTGACTTAAGGAAGTAGGAGCTCATTGACTCTATACTTACAGCTGCATAAGACCAAATTAGGCCCTCTGAATGTGAAGGACAGACAGTTGTGTGGTTTGGGCACTATGTGAGGTAACCAGCATATATATATATATATATATATATATATATATCTTCAATTGTCAATTGCTCCCAACTGTTAACCTTCCTCAAACATTTAGCTTGTGAACCTAGTGTGTACCCAATTTATGTTGTTCAAAGAAAAAGACAGGGACAAGAAGAAACAGAGGGAAGTATAAAGAGTTGCATTGATTTCTCTGTGGGATGTGTTAACCTAAGAATCATACATGACAAATAAAGCATAAATATCTTGTGTGTAAAAGTTGTATTTGTCATTGAAGATATTGCCTGAGTTTTCTCCTTCCAAGAAAACCTTCGTATAAGGTCTGTCATCAGAGGGGATTTATCCATTTTATAGAAAATTTCAAGATGTCATTCTTTTGTCTGCTGTGTAGTAATCCAATGTGTTAATGTACCATATTTTCATTATCCATTCATCAGTTGAGGGGCATTTAGGTTGTTTTCAGGTTATAGTCATCACATATAAGGCTGCTATGAACATAGTAGTGCACTTGTACTGGTGATATGATTGAGCATTCCTTGGGTATATATTAAAAATTGGTATTGCTGGGTCTGGAGGTGTTTTCTCCTTATTTTTTAGGAAATCACCATAATGATTTCCAAAGTTGCTATACCATTTTGCATTCCCACCAAGAATGGAGGAATATTTCCTTTATCTCTCATTCTCTCCAGCATAAGCTGTTATCAGTGGTTTTTATCTTGGCCATTCTTAGAGATGTTAGATGGATTCTCAGTGTATTTTGATTTTCATTTCTCTGATGGCTAAGAATGTTAAGCATTTCTTTAAGTTTCTTTTAGCCTTTTTATCATCACTTCTTGATAGTTCTCTGTTTAGATCAGTACTCCAATTTTGATTGAATTATTTTTTTCTTTTGATGAAGAATTTCTAAGCTCTTTGTATATTAGGAGATCAGTCCTTTGTCTGATGTGTGGTTGGTTAATATGTTTTCCCATTCTGTAGGCTGCTGTTTTGTCTTGTTGACCATGTCTTTTGCTTTACAGAATCTTCACAGTTTCAGGGCATCCCATTTCTTCATTTTTTTCTCTCAATATCTGTGCTACTGGGGTATGATTTAGAAAGTGGTCTCTTGTGCCAATGCATTCAAGTATAACTCCAACTCTCTCTTCTATGAGGTTCAGTGTGTTTGGTTTTATGTTGATGTCTTTGATCCATTTGGACTTAAGTTTTGTGCAAGGCAATAGATCTATTTCCATCTTACTAGATGCTGAAATACAACATCCCTATATGATAAATGTCTTGGAGAGAGCAGGGATACAAGAACATACCTAAACATAATAATGACAATATACAGCAAGCCAACAACCAACATCAAACTAAATAGAGAGAAACTCAAAGCAATCTCATTGAAATCAGGAATAAGGCAAGGTTGTCCAATCTCTCCGTATCTTTTCAATATGGTACTTGATGTCCTAGTTATAACAATAA